AAAAAAAAAAAAAAAAGTGAAATCTCGAGATTGAGTCGGGAATTTCCATTGCGTGGAATTTTTTTTTTTTTAAAAAAATTTTGATGTACGAATATAATTCATATATAACAAAAAAAGTCGAAATATAACATTATCTAAAATTGTACCCAACGAGATTTTACATAATAAAATTTATCTATAATAAATCCATATCAAATTCATTGTGAATTCTCGTACGTAAAGTGTCTTACAAAGCTATCATCCGTTTTGTTTCAAGAAGTAACTATAATAAGAAAATATCATCATTGTTGTTAAAGATGATGAATTGAAGGACCACAAACTAAAAAAATCAGGCATGTGTAGATCAAAATGTATATGAAAAGTTCAAGAAACATAAACATTTGCTAAACGATTTACTTTCCAAAGTTCATAAAAATCCCCTTGTTACCCATTTATATCAATTTTAAGAGTAAAACATTTGACAAAAGGAGGAAATATGACCTACAAACGTATGGACGTGTTAAAATTAAAGTACAATTAAATTAAAAAAGAGTAATGTTACTTGTACGTAATGAAATTATATAATAATTTACATAAAAATGAGGTGTTAAAAAAAAGAGTGGAATTTTTTTTTAAAATTTAGTTGAAAATTATGACACAATCATATCTCATCACATCATTTGTATGTAAATCATTATTTATACCATTACGCATATCTCTCGGTTTAGTCTTTTATTATGCATGTAACGAGCTTACTAGAAGTGTCAAATTGTAATGTAAAATAGAATATGGCGACAGTTTATGAATGAAGAATACAAATTAGTGGACATTTTCAACCTCCAAATAAGATATATCTATACCTTCTTCTTTAAATTTGCCCAATCCCAAATGCATGGCCTAGGCAAAAAAATTAAAAATGCGATCAAATCAATCAAACCAAATCGACTCGATTTGACACAGATAATTGATTTGATTTGATTTTCTTTTAAACAAAATCATGACGATCGGTTCAGTCATGATTTAAAGTATCAAACCATTGGTTAAACTAACTCAGTCCACTTGCATGTCTACTTTTTTTTTTTTTTTATTTAAGAAAAATAAAAATCAAAAGATAACATAATCTCATAACTATATCTCAATTCCTTTCAATTTATGATGTTGCTGATAAGTAATAGTACTTAATTTATTTTTTTTGCAAGCTCATTATGTTATACTTAGCATTTTCCCTACTTAGGAAGTCAGGCTACATAATATATAGAAAAACAACAAAACTTTTAAATTTTCTATCGATCTGTCTTTATTAACTTGATTTTATTTGTTAGTCAATAGTTCTTGTAATATAAAATTATTTGGTTATTTTAGTTCTTATAATATAAGTGAACCCAAATCTCAGACAATTTTCTTTTAAAAAAAAAAATTCAATTTAGACTAAAGTCGAAACTAACTAATCGAACCAAACCAAACTAGGTTCGGTTTAAAAGTTAGAATGTGTTAGTTTGGATTGAAATTCGTCCAAATCAACTAATTTGGTTTTTGTTGAGTTGGAATCGAAATTGATTCAAACCAAACCATGTTCAGACCTAAATGCATGAGCATAAATTCATAGAAAATGTTACAGAAAGTCATCAATTTGAGGAATTCTGGGAAAAATATCAAAGTCCTCTCTCAAAGTCAACATAAATATTTGATAAATTTAAATTATCTTGGTAAAAATCTAGAAAGTGTTCCATTTCGGATAAAAAAATGCTGCTATGAGATTCAAGAGAGTGCTAAAAATTATCATAAAAGACAACAATAAAAGAACCAACATGCATAAAATATTAAAAATGAAATACTAGTACTCAAGCTTAACCTTCTATTTATAAGGCTGCTCAACAATATTTTTCTTCTTAAAGTTTGAAGATCCAATGTCACCACGTTTCCTCTTAGTCGATTTGATTTTAGAACACTAGATCCAACTTGTTCAATCATGAATCCCGATTATATAGGGTAAAAACAACAAATTTTGAACAAAAATCGTAGAGTTATGGTTTGAAAATGAAGATCAATCCAAATCGCCAGGGAGAATTTGGATTTCTTTCTGCAAAATGCATTTTACGTTTTCGTCCCTGAAAAGTTTAATTTATAAAGGAATGCGTTTCAATTTTCCTAAAATGAGGATTTTTTTTTATTTTCTTTTTCAAAGTTTTTTGTTTTAGGCATATGGGCCTAATTTCCTCAAAATTATATCGAGATTACGTTGGGACTAACTGTGCAATTGGGCTGAGGGTGGGCTAATTGACTAACTTTTTATTTTTATTGAATAATTTATTACCCTATTTTGGACATGTGATAGATCAGTATTACCCTCCTCAAGGTTGGGGTTCAATCTTTTTTCTTTTTTTTTTTTTTAAATTGTTGAAATGTTCATGATAAATAAGCCATCAACTTTGTAAAAAATCAGAACTTTTAGTAATTTGGGAAAATTGTATAATCACATTTGAGTTACTTTAATATAAAAAAATAAAAATAAAGAGTTAGCCCTTGTTTGAGTCACATTATATTTATAAAAATACATTTTTTAATAGTGTATTGATGGCAAATGTGTAGTTAAAAAATAAATCAAGTTTTGGATTTGCGTGTAACATTATTTTATTAAAGAATGTGTAGTAGAAATGATCTCAAATCACTGTTTAAGAATGTATGTTTTTGAAAAAATGTGGCTCAAACATAACTTTTTTTATTGGAATTTTATTTTTTATTTTTTTTTGGGTAATAAGTAGCAAAGTATACCCTTAATTAAAGGCGGGTTGTAAGCTTGGGATTCTTGGACCTTTTTAAATTGCTATATTATTACATCCAACGCCACCTCAGTTCATTGCTTGTTTTGAAGCTTATCTCTTCACATTCAAATTATTTAATTATACTAATTATATGCTGCCCGCCTGAGTTAAAC